TTGACCACAAGTCAACTCTCAGTTAACGATAGGATCCACAACTCTATGTAATTCGATCCTGAAGATCCGCACATTGGATTTTTGATCCATAACTTCCCAAAGTCCACATTATGCTTCTAGAATAACATACTAAAATTTAATTATGATTCAACGGTCGGATTGTCGTCAATTACACAAACAAGTGGCAATCCAATTTGATCACCACACCAAACAATTGAATTTTGGAAAACCGAGCTAGACATAGGTTCACAGGGTTACTAGAAGGTATTTGGTACTTAGACAACACTCGTGGACGGTCTCACGCACTGTCACACGCGGTGGTAGCCAAGATGGAGGGTTTAGAAACCCTGAATTTTCAACATTAACTAGATGAGCTCAAATTTTCATAGTAGCTAGAGCTCAACAAGGGAAACACTTTTCACAACTAGGCCAACGATAAATTCTAACCGGAAACCGTCCAAATTCATCGGAGAAAACCGGATTACTAGGGTTCTAAACACCCAACTCTAAAATGAATACGAGAGCACGAACCAAGCATATCAACTTGAAGATTATGAGGAATAGATGAAGTTTCATACCTCACTCGAAGGAAATGGTTGCCGGAATCACCAGAAAAATGACAAAATCGTCGGAAACCCAAGGAACTTTGCTGCCTCGAACTGGGAAAATGGATAAGAAAATGGAAAATCTAACACTACAGAGATGTAGGGCTCGTCAAGAGCTTTCCATGGACACCAAGATCACCAAAACGGAGCTCAAATGAAGGAGATACAAGCGGATCAAGTTTGTGAGTTAACGGGTCCAATTTACCCCCAAAACGGGTTAGTAGCAGCCCTTTTTTTTTTTTTTTTTTCAGAAACCTTCCCCTTATTAATTTGATTGGTCCTCCGTTCAACCTTTACTTCTCATTGGCCACCAAAGCACATACCTCCTTGGCTTTTTCCCTCAAAATGAGAGTTTAAATAATTTCTAAAATCTATAGTTTAGTAACACAACTTCAAAGGTCTGTAACTATACCGTTATAATCCGGACTCGCAAACGGCTTTCGCCTATGCGTTCGTGGTTTTGAGATCTATTCGAAAATATAAATTATGACCTCCAAAGGTCTACTAATTTTAAATAATTAATTTCTAAACTTCAAACTTCGTAACTAGTTTAATTGAAATCTAAATTCAAATAAATTGATATAAATTCTCGAAAAATAATATAAAATCTCAATAATACAAATACATAGATTATAACAGTAAAATCCAGGAACGGGATTTCACAGTATAACCTTTATCCTATTTACTATATTGTCTTATGCTCTGACATCACGTGTGAAATAGATTCAATCCTGCTCGCCCGCGCACTCTTTTGATTAGGCATTTTTAAGTTTAAATTTATTCACATTTTCCACATCACTACACTTTACGGCTTCGTCACCTTCCAGGTATCGACCAACACAGCTCGATTTGGAGTCCTAGTGAACATTCCGGGTCAGGGTGTGTCATCACCTCAGTGAAAATTAAGTTCCTGAATTATTTTTTCGGTAAAATAAGTTTTTTAATTCATTAAAAATTGCTAATTTCATCCCTACTATTATATTCAAAGCTATTTTATCCAATTTTTCGTCAACTTAAGTTACTTGACACACTTTAGAGTGTAATATCGTCACTTTCTCACCTATAAGCCCTTAAAATTTCATATGGGGTGCGAGCCTATCATCGAATTTATCCTCCAAAGTTAACTCCATACACTATTTCTTTATGGAAAATTACCAATCTACCATCCAATGTGTACCACATGCAAATAATGTGACTTAAATTGACATAAAATTGAGTAAAGTAGCTTCGAATCTAATATTAGGGATGTAATTGGTAAATTTTTATAATTCAATGACTGATTTTTTTGAAAAAAAAAAATTTAGGAACCTAATTTTCACTCAGGTGATAATTCAGGGATTAAATTGACAATTCATCCCTTATTATATAGTATAATTTGAGTGCCTATTTATATTTACAAAAATACATAATTGTATTAAGATATATAAATTGCATAATAAAATGACATAGATTACAATATTATAACATACAAAAAATATAGAGAACAAGTGTATAATGAGTGTTCATCCAAGTATTCAACAAGTCTCCTACAATTTCTTGAACAAATAAAATCCAAAATGAAAGTTATTGATTTGATGTCTAAATGAGAGTTGCGACCTAGGCAGGCTGTGTGGACACTTAGTTGAATATCAGAGTGCACAACGAATAAGACTACAAAATAATAAGAATATTATTAAACAAAAGAGAATGACGGAACGGCTACAAAACCCTAAAAGGCTACATTGTGAATGACTTACTCTCAAACTAAATTACAAGCTCTATTTATAGAGAAATAAACCTAAGAAACCCTAATGCGTAAATGCCAAAAATACCCTACTACAAAATCAAATCAAATCTCTAATTAATTTCCTAAATAAACCTAATAAATTCTAACAAGGCGGACTAGGCAGACGATTAAGAAGGTTTAAGCGTCATTTCTTAATTTTGGAAGTCTAGAGATTAATCTGCAGGACAGTGAATAGCTTCCTAGCACCAGTGGGGATTTTTGTAGCAGTGCATACAAGCATTCACAATTCGGTCGATAAGTGATGCAGGCATCTTGGACATTGCTGGAGCCACAATTCTCTCCCGCCATTCATTACAACGATGGACAACGGTGATAGGCAAGGTCGAGGCCGAGAATGCAGTTTCAGGGCATTTTTGTGCTGGTTAAGAGAAATCAAAAGGCGGATTCTCGCTCTTAAGGTTGAATTCCAACGACCGGAGGTGCGGCCGCAACTCCTTGCACCTCTGTGGCTTCACCAGTGGAAATAACTTTGCGAAGTTGCTCCTTGACACTTATGTTATTTCGGAATGAACCCAATTTTAGGCATTAACAGTGGACGCATCCGAGTTGAAGCTTAATTGTTTAACGGTTTCAGTGTGAAGCCAATGTTCTATTTATTGGATAGTTTATAGGAAGATGTTCTTTTTATTTTTGTTATTCATGTTGTCTATCAGTTTTTCACACCCAAAGGTTAGAGTTTGTATCATCCTCCCCGACGTCCCCGTTTGACCTTCATTTAAAAATGAAAATAAAAATAAAATAAATAAAGAAACAAATGTGAAAGGGCAGGAATAAATTATAGCTTGTTCAAAATAAGAATAAATAATAACAAATTTTTTATTTGTCATCTTGGGGAGTAAAACCAACAAGTAATAGAAAACAATGATTGACGTGAAGCTATTCTTTGGCTCATGCTTGTTGGATTTACCTAAGAGAACTTTAACGAAAAACTTCCGGTATTGTTCACTTTAATGAAAAATCACATTTTTATATTAAAAGGTCAATCCTAGTACTATTCACTTTACCCTTTATTTTGTCCTTATCGTTAAAACTCAAAGTTTTTAAGCCATTTTCATTAGTTTTCCTTTTAACTAATCCAATAGAGGTTTGGGACAAGAAATATATTAAACCCTAAAACTATAGACTAAGAAGATGAGAAGACTTTGGCACCTAATACTTTTATCTTCGGAGGGGAGCCAAAACTTCAGGTTCGAAGGACCAAATATAAGATACAAGTAATAATATTTTACTTACAAGAGCACTAGTTAGGTGTAAAAGATAGACGAGCGATTATCTTATTTCTATTTTTGCTTATACTTATTATATATGAATTACAAGATATAAAAAGAAGAGGAAAGGATCAGGCCCATCAGGGTCAATCGCGGTCAATGAACTGGTGGCTACGATTCTCTCAACATTTGCCATTTGACGATTTCTCACCAAAGAATATATGCCCCGGTCAAGCATTTGGCTTAAGAAATTAAAGATGACAAGGGGAAGTGGAGCCACTACGTTTTTTTCCTCTTGGCCTAATTAGATAAATAATTCATGTGGTCATAAGGTATTCGGAAGATAACTCATGTGGTAACAAAAATTCAAATTTAAACTCCTATAGCGAAGTCATTTGTATCATCTCTTTAATAGAGATAAGACCCACATGTGTTGGTGGCCTTACTACCTCTATTGAAGAGATGATACAAATATGTGATAAGTGTAGCATTACTCTTTAAACCTATGCTAATAAAGAAAGTTCGTTTAAGGGTAGTGTTATCCACACACTCACTTTTACCTCTCACACATTCCTCTCAATTTCCGGCAGTTTGATCAAATTATTAAAGAAGATTAATGGACAAAAATTAACAAGAGTGTGTGGAAGGTAAAAGAGAGTGTAAACAGCACTACCCTTCTTTTTAATTCATAGTATAGTTGGAAAATCGTTTAGAAATTTTATTGTTAACGTGATTTTTTATCGAAAATATATGTTTGGTTGTATATAGTGCAAAGTATATCGAAGATAACTAAACGCTTTTTAATTTGAGTAAAAATTTGCAAATGTGATCTTTCAATAAAGTACAGTGTGAACTCAAAACAAATATTTAGCATCGTATTAACTAACTTGTGCTTACTCGCTAAAACTAAATATATACACTAAAAACATAGTGTATATTAAATCAATGTAGTCAACTCAACTGCCCTCGTAGATACTCATGCTCAAACTCTAATTGCATTATAATATGCCAAATCAAAGAGAAGCTTCGGGTGATTCTGTAATTCAATATTAGGTGCGCCAAAAGATCTACTCAAACAAAGTCTAGACAAACGTCACAAACCTTTAGACAAACCTTTGCATCGATCGATCCCTTTATTTTTAAATGTGACAGAAGAAGGTGTTGCGAAAGAGCGTTCATACCCACATGGTGAAATTCATAAACCAAGTTCATTGGTAGATCAAATAAACAAAACACTGAAAATTTTATAAAAAGAGGAAGAAATTTTCTTTTTTGAAATGCGGGAACGTAGAAAAAAAATAAAGAGGGGAGTCTGCCTTCCTCCCTTGACTCTTTTCAATTCCACATGTACAACTAATTAAGGTATATATCCTCCCTTGAGTCATAGGTGGACTTTGACCACTACTTTTCTAACCTACCTCTCTCTCTCTCTCTCCCCTCCTTCCCTGGCTGCTTCTCCCTCTCTCTCTCTCTAAACTTGCTTACCAGTACTACTACTTTTCATGTTCTCATCCTTCTACTTTTCAAGCACTTACGAACCAGAAACTTCTAATTTTCTCTCTCATCACCTGTCTCCCTCCTCTTCTTCCTCTTTCAGTTTCTTCCATCACTAATATGAATGCTTTCTTTTAATATTCTTATCTATGTGTATAAATATCACCACTTTTCAAATCTCCCTCATCTGTGCCAGCTTCTTCCATGATTAAAGCCACTATTAATCTGCTCACATCTTTCCCCAACATATATTCATGCTGTTTGGCCCTTTACTTTTCATTTTGACAACCGATAGTATATTCTACACTAAATTCTATGAGAAGAACTTAGTTGCATAATGAGAACACATTGCTCTAGCCAACTTAGCTAAACTCAGGTTTGCGGAGCCCTATACTTATTATCTTATTATGATTTTCCCTTTGCCACCTTCTAGTTAAACGACTCTTCTTACTCTCTGTAGCTCATGAGGTTCCGCATATAATTCAAGATGAATAAGGAGCACATATATTGGGTAGGGTCATCCTATAGTCATGACCAAAAGACATAAAGGTCGATTGAAGTGTAGCGGGGAGATCAAGAGAGACTCCCATTTCCCACCTTTGTCTATGGACACTGCTTTCCACCTCGATGAAGGTTCTCGCGCCAATTTCCTTCGACTTGTCATGCAATCTTTTGGCTGCTTTTACATTTGCTTGTGGTCTTATATGCCACCTCCTTCTAAGTATGTATGCATCATTCCTCTCTCACTCTCCGTTTCACACACACATCGAATGTGGAAGGAGCTCGTATTAATGTTGGTTTGATGTGTTCGTGCAGCTGCTTATTCTTTCTCGATGGTGTCTATGATGAAGAAAATCAACCAAGCTCTTCTTCCGGCAGTTTGGCTCGGCGGCTTTTCGATGAGTATCGGCTATCAGTTTTCAAAGTCTTCGAAAACGAGTGCGTAACTAAGCCTATTGGTTTGCTTCTAATTATTAATGTTGCTATTTCTCTCATAAGTTTTTTGCTGCATGTATATATGTACATGATCAGGTGTGTTCCAGGATTCGCTTTCAGGAATAGTATTTCATTTGTGGAGTTGCAAGAAATGGACCTACAAAGACTGGCATCAGATGATAAACAGAGGCAATTTTATCAGGTAACTAATTTAAAATATAACTGAAGTATATTCATTCATTTACGCAGGCAAAATATCGTGCGCTAATTGAGTATTTTTAATCTGCTTGTAACAGGAAGCAAGGATTAAGGTTTGTTCATATTGGTCTACAACAATAATTAATGGATAAAGATCTCCAAATTGAATATTTTTGCATATATGATCTTTAGATGAGGACAAAGAGAATGAATTATTCCAATTATGATGTTCTGATGGTAGAGATTCATTAATCAAGAGTGAGGAAATAAGTAGGTTCCCGCATAAGGTGAACACAAGCATTATCCTTAATTAATCGGTATTTTTCTCTTATAGTTTCCTCTTAAATTACAGACTGCAGTTTTCATGGGGTGCAAGAGTGGAGAAATTGAGCTGGGCATGTCCAATGTGTGTCAAGTAAGACCAAGTCATAACCTTACTTGGAATTATTTTTATGAAAAAAATTTGGTTACACGGAGGTTTCGAACCCTAAACCTACCATAACCCGCCCCCACCAGGCTGATCCAAGTGGCCTTTAATTATATTAAGAATCTTAATGCATAATTGAGGTTTTTATAATTAACTAATTTATTTTTTGTTGTTTTGCAGATAAATATAAAAAGAGAAATGATGAGAACCTGGTTGCCAGAAGTTTTTCCAGGACAATTATCTCCACATACAGAAGTTGCCAGCAGGTCAATCAACGGTCAGCAACAATATCCACTTTCATCATCTTCATCTTCTTTGAGATCACTTTCCACAATGGATAGTCCTGAATATTCCTCCCTCCTCTTCAACATTCCCACCACCACTACCACCATTTCTCATAACATCCCAGAACTCTTTACACAATTATCTTCCAATCCCTTGCAACCAATCAATATTAGTTCATTGGAACCTTTACCAACCAAAAATCTCATTACTACTACTTCTTCTACTAGTACTACTAGTCCTCATCAACAAGCCATTCAAGCAATTTCTCGAATCCGAAACATCCAATTCCCAACTCCGGAGATCGAAGATGCCACGATGACAAGAGCCATCCTTGCAGTTCTGTCTTCTTCTCCATATCAACCACCCCCACAAACTAATCCACCTTCTTCTTCTTCTACTACTGATCATCACTTGCAAACTCCAAGGGCCAGTGCTTTCAAGAGTTACAACACCTCAGTTTTAGCCCCAAGAACGCAAATGAGTGCTAATTTACGCCAGCAAAACATGCACAAGCGATCCATTTCCTTCTTGAGAAGCTTGAATCTAACGAGGCTTCGCGAAGGTATCCAAGCCACCCGCCCCACAAGCAGCCAGTTGCATCATATGATATCAGAGCGCAAAAGGCGTGAGAAGCTCAATGAAAGCTTTCATACATTGAAATCACTACTTCCTCCGGGAACCAAGGTATTTAACATGCATATACTCTGTTGTATAAAAGGATATTGGACCGTACTGGATTGAATTGGACTACAATAAACTATACTAAACTAGATTATATTGAGCGTAGTTTTAGTATTCCAGTTCAGTTAAACACGGTCCAATATAGCTATATATTAATTTACACATTTGTTGGGCAATGCATTAGAACATCTTTCTCTTTTTTTTGCATTGGTATATATATTGGTTTCGTTGCAATCGTGATTAATTAAATTTTTTGGTAGTGTAGAAAGACAAAGCCTCAGTTCTTACAACTGCAAGGGAGTACTTGACTAGTTTAAAAGCTCAAGTTGCTGAGCTTAGCAAAAGAAACCAGCAGTTAGAGGCAAGGCTCTTGCCACTTGCCAGCTTAGGAGCTAATGAAGCAGCAGCAGCAGCTGCAGGCTCCTCAAATGAAAGATGTAGTCTTACGGTTACGCGTGTATCAACCGAATCATCCCCGGATCAAGATGAGCAAATTATTGACTTGCAAGTGATTCTAAGATCACAAGAGAGCTGCACCGAAGATATGGTGATCCGCATTTTGGAATTCTTGAAGCGGGTTGAGAATGTAAGCTTGATGTCCATGGAAGCCAATACTTGGATATCAGAATCAAATTTTAACATCAACCGCGTAATCTTGAGATTAAGAGTTGATCAGGTATGTAATAAAATACTTACAAAATTTCTTAAACTCGTTAATTATTAATATGCTCCCTGGTATTGAAGCATGTGTGAATGAAATTCACCTAGGGTATATAGAACACCTTTTATAAGCTTTTACAACTACAAAAAGTTAAACAGCAGAAAACAATGGAATAATATGTACACGTAGGGATTTTAACATAGGACATTGAACATTGAGTACAAAGATAAACGCTTATAACCACTTAAATTACAAGCTTGCTTTTGAGAGAAAGTTGATATGTAGCCTTGTTAATTTCATGTTGTAGATTTAATGTGCTAACTACACAAATAATTGAAGGGTTTAATGAGGTCACTGATTAGCAATGAGAAGCCTATTTTTGAGGAAATTAGAAGGAAACTGAGTAGTTGCTTTATTCTTTTCACAGGGAACTGAATGGGACGAGGCTGCTTTCCAGGAAGCAGTGAGAAGGGTGGTTGCTGACTTAGTACGTAGGATAGACTAGTCTTCTTTTTATTATAGTCGAAATTGTAGGACTAGTCAAGATTTTGATATATGGATTGCATTCTGTGGGCACCCATCGATGCTTCCCAATTTGAACCCCATCACATCCGGTATAACCACCATTCAATTAGACGATCAAACGTATCAATTTCATTCATTTCATTGTGTTTATTGACCAACAACTAATATTTTATTTCTTCGATTAAAAGTGTAGAATACTTTTAAGATTTTTTATTTTTTTATAGAAAGGTAACAATTTTAATGGTTTCTTTCACTAATTTGCCTTATCTTCATAAGAAATTTATATTGCAGAGAAATTTTTTTTCAAAAGTGGAATCTCTATAGAATCTTTGTTACTTTATATTTTTTGCACAATTTTTATAATATTGGCGCGAAAATTAACGTTAAAATATGAGGTTCAAATTGTCCATGAAATGTCTCATTTTAAGAAAATCTCCTGAACATTTCCCTATATTATATTTTATGTTATTATTTAATCATCTGTTAATTATACAACAATTGTTGGGAGCTTGGGATGGTTTTGTTGGGAGCTCCAGCTGTCGGGGTCAGTCAAGCCCACCCAATATAAGTATGTTTTCCATGGATTTGGATCCTCTCCTTAGCTAATGGAGAGGATCCTCCTGACCAGTTATCATGAGCCGTTGGATAAAAATCCAACGGCTATAATTATTATAACTTTAAAAGAATTTCCATATTTGTAGCCGTTAGATAAAAATTCAACGACCCATAATAACTGATCAGAAGGATCCTCTCTATTAGCTCAGGAGAGGCTCCAAATCCGTTTTCCATCTTCCCTTTTTGTTCTTTGTTTCTTGGTACGCATTTATGTCGCCCAAATTGACTGCAAATGGAAAGTAAACCGCCAATACGACCAAAAAGAGATTGGTTAATGATGCAGAAAAACGGTATTCAAAGTATTGGTACGTCAAAAATTCACTTTTTCAATAGTTGCTTCAAGAGAGAGGATTCTCATTGGATTCTCTGTGTGAGAAATTAGAGATCCTCCAATCATATTTGATTATCATATATCGTACGACTAATTGTCAGATACTATTTATATTCAATTTTTAAATAAAAAAATTTATAATGATTTCTGATCGTACGATGTACGATCGTACGATGTACGATAAACGGATATGATTGAAGAATCCGGCTAGGATCTTCTGGTTGCTTCAAAACCACTTATAACATTTTCACAGCTGGCAGCTACATCCATCTGCCACGTCAAGTTGAGTGGTTGAGGCTGAGATAGGATTCATGTATCAAACATCTTAGATTAATGATATTTAAATCCCATTTGTCTTTAGTCATTTGGCCACGATATCTGCTTTGAAATTATAGGGCCAGTCAATTACTTTTCTTCAAGGGAATCAATAAAGGGGTTTGGAGACGGCGGTTTTGACCCTGTTGTGTATGGCATGCACTTGTTCAAGAAATAGAATAGTTATGTTAGTTTTTAATTTAATTTTACGAACCTTCTGCTATCCTACTTGATTAATCTGTAGAAATCTTCCAATAATTGCAAAGAGAAAAATTAGTAGAAAGGAGAGTAGAATCGATTTTTAATAAAGCATCTAAATATTTTGATAAAAAAGAAGAAGGTAGAATTGGTTAATAATTCTAGTAAAATAAGATCAAATTAATGGGTAACTTAGGTCAAATTGGTGGATAACTGTAGTATTGTTAATAGCTGTAACCATATTTATCTAAATGGGGAAGTAATTCGAATACATAAGCGTAAAGATAAATACTTTTAACCAACCGAATTATAAGAATTATAAGTTATGTTAGCAAAGTTTAGAGTCAATATTTTAGTGGGCTTTTAGGGAGCAATACTAGTAGCTTTTCCCACTCCAAAGAGCTGAGTACTTTTCTCACTTGCAGTCCCCTGAGTTGGCTGAAAGTTCTGGTTTACAATCTAGTCCTAATTTTATATGGAAATGGTAAACCAACAAAGCTTATTTGAAATTCATCAATATTGTTTACTTGTGGCTTTGTTTGTTAGTTGTGATTACAATTGTAGGGGAAAAGAGTGAAGTAAAAGATTATCTAAAAATGCAAAGTAAATGAAATGGTAATTTCGGATAATGAACAAAGCATTATCATTCTTGGATAAACATATTAATGTGGTGCAATAATATCAATCATTTGTTAATTAGCTCATAATTAACACGCCTAGAACGATGGTTCAGGCGTTGATTCTCACTATGATGTACTTTAGGCATAGCGGTTGCACCAATAGGTCAAGCTTGATGATTCTTCATCAACAGCTGATTCTGCTTTTCAGCAATAAATAAGATAGAGATCAAATTCGAAAACTTAGTGAACTTCTGAGCTCTATATTGTTGTTGCAAGACAATATTGATCGTAGAGAATGTCGAATAGGTCTTCTCAAGGAGATCTTCTTCGGTCAAGTTCTCGTTACAGAATTTGAGAAGTGATCGGATTCGACAAACTTTAGAATTGAATTCATTCATAGACTTAAAAGTCTTGGAAGCGCATATGCTACCAGTCGTGTCTTGCTTCAAGCAATAAGATGTCCCTTTTGTGATCAAAACGATCGGGCAAACGACCCATAAAGCTCATGGATCTTCCATAGTAAGGTACTCAGTTTGCAGTGCATCATGAATGTGTCTTCAGATGAAGATCATGGCAGTGACTTTCTCAGCTTCGCCAACCAAGTTATATGTCTTAGCTTCAATGGATGCTCTAAATTCTTAGCGGTAAGGTGGAGTTTCACATCTTGGACCCACGTAAGGTAGTTTCTTCTAGAGACGTCTAAAGCGATAATGTCAAAAAATAAATGGACAAGAATGCGGTTAGTGTAATGGAGACAAATCAATCCATTCACATAGCAGTAGAATATTCGGGTTCTAATAGACATGTATTGATTGAAATTTACATGAAAAACTTCAAGTTTTCATGAGTGATGTTTTAAGAAAACTTTGGGTTTTCAAAATGCATATTTTTCTAAAACTTATTGTAAAATCGACGGTGTGTGCAGTGGAATAAACAAATAAGACATAAAATTTACGAGGTTCCTCTACAGTCAGTGTGACTGGAATACGTCATCGGGGCAGCAATGGTGCTTTCATTATAATTTGGAATAATAGGAGTACAAAGATAACTCTCTCTATTATCTCATCTCCTCTTCCTCTCTTTTCTCTCTTCCTCTCTTCCTTCCTATCTCTCTTCCTCTCTTCCTTCCTATCTCTCCCGTGAATCGCCCACTTGATGTTGTGTGGGGTTTGCTTTTATAGAAAAAATGAGTAGTGTTGAGCAAGCTTCTTAGACATCCACTTGTTGAGTGGATGAGTGGACATCCATTATTTACAACACTCCCCCTTGGATGGCCACAAGTCTTCGATTGTCTTGTTAAAATCTTGATTTGTCTTTGATGCTCCCCCTGATGAGTATCTCCTCCTGATTTCAAATCATTTAGGCTGATCGTTGATCATTCTGCTTCAATCTCTTAGCGAAAAGAGTTGTCGAAAGAGGTGCTTTACTTGTTGTTAACTTTCCACAGGCTTTTTCTTGAACTGGGTTGTAGGACTTTCTGCTAGACTTGCATCAAAGATCTGAATTTACTCCTTTTATCTGGAGCGGAATTTGATTCAAGAGTGGTGGACACTTGATCTTGAATCGGACTTGTGATTTCTTCAAGGACTTCGATGATTGATCTTGAATGAAATTGGACCATGAGGAGCTTCACGTGGCAAGTGATCTTCGGCTTTGTCGGGGATGAATCACCACGTGTTTGTTGCGCTTGTCTCCACATGTTTCAATGTATCATTTTCACTTTCCTTACTTGCTTCCCTTGCTTAAGTAGTATTTTCCCTACTTTTCCCCCATGCATGTGTGGCATCTTCTCTTGCAGTATTTGCCCTCTGATGCAGGAATGGAATGCAACCCTTGCATTTGGATGGTTCATCACTTCTTGGTGACTGGAGACCCAGCTCCAACAACAGTTGAAGATGACTACTCGAGAGCTAGGTAAGCAATCAGGAAAGGTTTCAGGCAGTCGGTTCCTTACTGGGAGTTTGAGTGGAAGTTCCGACATATTGCTTTCTTTATCCTTGTCTTTGCAGGTAAGAACAAGGACAAAGGAAATGATAGGGTGATTGCATGATATGAGATATTCTTGCTCTCGTCCCTGAAGATATGAGATCATCTTGCTCTGGTGTGATTTGTTTGAAGAGGTATTCTCAGAGAGGAAGAAAACTGAGCATTTTGAGATGCTTTGTTGAAGATGCATTCTCGAAGATGAGGAAGAGTTGGACATTATTGCAGGTCTGCCTTGTTATGGAGAATGGATGTCGACATATATAGAGATTTCCCAATAGCAAGTGGTGGTGTTGTGCTTGTACTCTTATCAGCAACTGTGGTGTAAATAGAACAGTAAGATTTACGCGTTTTCAACTTTGTCAGAGATCTTTGACAAAGTTGCACACGATATCCGAAAAACTGAGATTGCGGCTGAAAAATGCCAACGAACTTTATTCAGGAAAATCTGGCTTTTGAAATTCGGAGAATCGTGCCACTTCGATCTTTGAACAAGTGGCTTTATTGCCTCTTCTTTTATAGAGACATCCATTATGTTCAAGAGTATGCTCAGAAAGTTGCTGCCTGAGAAATTTCCCCCTTCTTGCACTTTTGAAATTTTATTTGACCTCTTTTTTCTTCATCATTTCTGAAAATGACTTGCCCATCTAACATTTGCTTAGATTTGAGTCTTAGAAGTGATACAGACGAGCAGCGTCAGGATAATATATGGCGCTCGTCCTTCTTATCTTCTAATGGTCCTCTTACAGTTGGGGACTCTGTGATGAAGAATAACATAACCACTACTGTGGTAGCTAAGAATCTTCTCACTCCAAAGGATAACAGAATCCTTTCAAAACGGTCTGACGAGTTGGCCGTTCAAGACTCCTTGGCTCTCAGTGTTCAGTGTGCTGGCTCTGTTTCCAATATGGGTCAACGCCTACTTGCTCAAACTCACCAAGTTGAATCATTGATGGCTGAGGTGGCAAGTCTTAAACAAGAGATCAGATGGCTCAAGCACGAGAATAGAGTGTTACATGTGCTTGCAAATAATTACTCAAAGAGCATGAAAAGAAAGCTCGACCAACTGCAGGAATCCGAAAGTCGGATTCAAAGTGATCACCAAAGGTTCGTTGCTAGATTTCGAAAGCAACTGATGCCTTCCTCTTCTGGTGTTTTGCCAAGTACTGGGGTGCCACATAGTCAATCTCCAGTA